TGAAAAATTTCATTTTTTCTGAAAAGGTGGTGTCTATTTACTTGTGACCACGCTGTGTATATACTGACTTGTTTTCATTAAAGTTTTTTTCAGTTGACAAGGTTGATTTTACACCATAGTGAATGATAGCTTTAAAAAAAGTTCTCCGACATATCCCTTTTACCATAAATGTGGATTTATGAAACTTAACCATGTGATACATCATTAACAGAATTTGATGTCATACTATGAAAACTAGACAGAGATTTAATTTCGTCACATGACTCAGATAAAAAGTGAGCACTGAACAATGTTGATTACAAAAGCAAGAAATCTGGTTTTATTGTTTGGTTTCCACAGTTTTATATATTCCAATAATGTATATCTGACTTCATTTATGATGAAACTACATCCTTATAGCATTGTCTTAACTTTATTTCTAGAATAAAGCTTATGATTCACAAGTTATGTGATTCTGATGCAGTCTTATATTTATTTTGAAACAGAGTAAGTCAAAAGTTCTGATTTTTCCTGTTGTTGTGAAGTAAATGTGGAATATCAAAGATCTGCTGACAAATGGTGGTTGGGCATATACGGGTCACTTGCTACTTGATATGATGTCATCTAAGTGCTATACCTGAAACTATACATCTTAGGTAAATGTTGTAGAACACAATGATATTACTCCAGAAAAGTTTATTATTTATTCAGGTTTGCTCCTCTGAGTTCATCAGGAACTAATAACAAGAGTACAGTATGCATGTCTGCAAAATCAACTTAATTTACAAAAGATGCTCAGTGTTTAGACCAACACAAATACATACTTGTGTACAGTGTTTTATGGACTGTTAAGCATTTGTAAAGTGTACCATAGGAATTTCTGCACATGCCACATGAATTCATTCATGCAGGTCCTGCAGAGCTTTTGTGGGTGTGGCACACACACCCATTCTTTGATGTAACCTTACAGGAAGAAATCCAGTGGCCATTCAGTTGAAACTACATCCTCTGGTAAGAGGTTTGAAGTAAATTATCAACATATGCAGTCACAACACCTTGCAGTGACAGTGTTTCTGCAGCCAATGTGGATTGTCAGATGCTTAATAGTACACATTATTGGTGTTGAAAACATAGTCACACAATAACTTTGCCTTGTCAGACCTTATAACTTTGAATCTTCATCCAGCATTATGAGGATCCAATTACAAAAGTCCATTATAGCTCTCAACTTGCTCTTTAAGATCTTGGTGGCAGTGGACATAGTAAGGATGAAGTTTATGATAATGTAATAAATGTACTAATGATCTTTGGCTAAGGCCACTTTCTAAGGCAATTTTATAAGTCACCTTTTATTAAGGTAAAATATTTTCAAAGTAAAAATTATACAAATTTATATGAAAATCATAAAGAAAACAATGTTCCTATGGTAATATCATTGTGCCTTACAGCTTTTGTATTGACACATTTTGTTTTCAGACTGGTAGTTTCAGGAATGCCATTTAGTTGACTTTAATGTGACCTGTATACCATGACAAGTCGGGTAACATATGGCTCTTTTCTGCCTGTATGAGCACATTTTTAGTATTTCTCACTTACTTTATAACAATAGAGATAATTAAGAGTTTTGACTCACTCAGTATGTGTTTGTGTGTGTGTAAAAGATGAACTTTTAGTATACATAAAACTAAAAACACAGTAGATGTAATACATATTAATGTAAATTTGTTTTTAAGCTTTTCTTTAAATTTTTGGCATATGTAGTAAAAAAAAGGTGTTTTTAAGCTTCATTCAAGTTACAATGTGACTGTTGTATATATTTCATGGTAATAAGTTGTATGATTTAAGTACAGAAACTCTGTTGCATCATATTACATAGGATGTTTTTTTTTTAAATTTTGCTTAATGACTTGTTTTTCTGTTGTCACTAAATAAGCATCTTTGTCCATCATTAAAATAGAAAAGTGTCTAAAAATGTAGCTGATTTCCTTAATTTTATAAAAATTCTAATTGAACCATTACAAATGATTACTGAATTATTTTACATATTTAACAACTGTTTATTAAATGCTATAAATCTATATTTAGGTTTCGAATGTATTGTTGATCCAAAAGGACAGCCTCTTGTATGCAGTGATTTTGCCTGCACAATGTGGGGTAGTAATCAAAATGCAGATGCACGCCATGCCAAAGTTTCATCTCGACTCCCTGAAGGATGTATAAGGTACGGCATACGTTGTTAAAATAACTAAATATTTATAGAAAGTTGTTGTACCTGATGGTGCCAGGTTAACCTGGTGAAACGTTGTATCTATAAGTACGATGCTCTGTATATTCAACAATAAACTAGCTTTAAGTATGTGTTGTTGTTGAAAAATACATTAGGTGACATTCTCCAGCATCATGTGTGCTATGTTGATATTGCCAGAACCTGCTGCTATCAGCTGGCTATCGTATTGTACCAGTTTTGAAATCTTATGTAAGCCACTATATTTCTCTATAATGTCCATCATTTGGGTGTCATATGCTTTTAAGTATTTTTAGTCAACTTGATGTACTTTGTGTTGATATGTTGGAAAGCTAAACAGCCCCAGTCTGTCTTGTGCAATGGAAAGGTACAAGTGTGTTTGTATAAACAATAGCTACACCAAACAAATTTCCAAACCTAAAAGCATATGCTTTCACTGGGCCAAACCAACCTCCAAATATGAAATTGTTTAAAGTTTCATTGGGTGACCACATTGAGCTGTTGAAAACTGATATTGCTCTAAAACTACAGTTCTAAGTTTGTTAAAATATGTAAATTTAGTTGATATCTAATGTGAACTATTGTGTTTTATATTACATACTGTTCAACTAAAATGTTAAGAAACAGTGCTAGGCTTAGAAAGTCTCAAACCTTTTTTTTCAGTAGAAAATGATAAAGATCTTTGTATAAAAAAATCTACACTAAGCTGGTTGAAAGTCATTAAGATTTATCTCCAGTGTGCATGTATATCATTTCTAAGCCAAATACATGGTATTATATAAAGAAAACTGAAAATAGAGAGTGTATAAAGTTTATTTTCTTGCATGGATGTTTGAAAGATCACATATTTTCAAAGTCATATCTTTGATTCCGTATGTAAGTGTGTGTAAATGTTTATTCTTTCTGTGGCATGGAACTTTTGTTTAAAAGTAGGTCTTGTTTGCATAACAAACATGCATTTCATAAATGTGCTATTGGATTTGTCAACTGTGATTGAGTGCATTTTATTTTAGATTTTTAAGATGACTTTGTCCCAAAGATTTGTTGTAAGCAAACCAAGATTACATCTGTAGTGGTTTGGTGATGATAGATATAATATAAACAGGCTAAAGCTTTTACATTGAAAGGGAATCACCCACTCTATAATGCATGAAACTTTTTCAATTGAAAAGTCATCTTTACTTCAATTTGCAAACAAGGAGAAACCAAGTCAAGAATGAACAGTTTTAACTTAAAACCACAAGTGAATAAAAATTGAATTTTAAGACTAGATGTATATGTACACTTTCAATAATTTCCATATTGTAACTACAACTAATTCCACAGTGATAAATATGATTTTTATACCTATTAATTTTTTTTTTTTTTCAGAGTTGCTATCAATGTCTTGCCAGAGTTCATGTTTTGTATTAACTTTCCAAAGCTTCATGGAGCACAAGTGTTAAAAAAAAGACACTTGGAGATCTTGGGATACAAAGTTGTTCAGGTAAGTTTATTTTCTTCTTAATTTTTTATGGCGAAAGAACACAGATCATTTATTGCTGAACATAACATGAAATAATATAAGTATAAATCAAAACAGAAAACAGGTAGTATTGATCAGAGAAAGTAATGATTTTTTGCAACTTAGTTAAAAAATGAATCTATTTTCAACATGTAAGTAAAGCAAAAGCAGTTTTATTTCCCTGAAAGGGTGCCAAAGACTGCCTGGAGGGGTTTTAATCAGTTGCACCACTATAAAGTAGTTTGTTGTCTGTCAGTCAGCATAAGATATGAACTTCAAAAGCAAGAAATAAAAATATTTGTTACTCTTAGTTTTGGTTTTATTTCTCTTGAAACAGAACACTTTCAGGGACCCTGCAGAAGTATATCTAGTTTATTTCCACTAATTTATAATTCTTTTTTTTTATTAACATATACACACACACACAAGCCTTTAGAAAACTGCACATCTGGGTTTATGATATGCAGAAGTTTACATGAAATAAAATCATTTGTTGTTCATTTGTAAAGAATAGTGTGGTGTGAAAGTAGATGCAAAAGTACAATACTGATTTGTTTTTTATTTTTCTTCTTTTGTAAAGAAAGTTCTGTTTTCCTTCCATGTTGTGAGCACCATGCAGAAAGGATACTGATAAAAATAAGATTCTATAAGAAGGAAAAATGAAAGTTATTACATTTATAACATCAAGTTCAAATCAGGTAGTCTGAAATACTTTAAGCCCTTTTCTTATTGAATTTGCTCTTATACTTTCAACAAACATGACTGAAACTTCTGAATGCTCTTTATACATTTTAAAGCATGCATCACTTACCCATAATTCTTCACTATCCTACATTCCATATGTATGCAACTGTCAGGAGATCTTACATAAGATTTGCTTTTCTGCCATAATTCAGATTTCTTTTTTTTTTTTGAGAGAGAGAGTTCTATTGCTAACTTTGTTCACTACAAATTCTGGCATTATTTTATTTACCACTGCAAATGTTTCTACTAAAATAAATTTCAAAACTTCTGTGGATGCCTTACTAAATTTGTCTGCTTCTAGTTCTTGGCTTTATTGTCATCCTTTATTGATCAACATATATAGGCCATTAGTTACGTATTGTCTGTTGCTGTACCTGGCAGGTAATTCTGAAGAACCCTGTTCTAATGGTCTGATTTCTTGTTTTTTGTCCTCGAGTGTATTTTGTTTTAAATCTTGAACTATTTTCTATTATGCTTGAGGTGGCTAATGTCACGTTGGGTGATTCAATTCTTGAAAACTTGACACTTCCTACCTTATCCTAATATTTAGTTATTGGTGATTTTTGAGAAATCAGTTAATTGTCAATATTTTAATGTGGTCATCTTCCTTCTTACTTGTTGAACCTCACAACAGTGGTCTTCTACTTGGTATATTGTCAGTTTTCTTCCCTGCATACTATGATATGTCTTGTTATGAGACTTTCTTCTTCTTTAAGATTTATTAGTTATGAACTCCACTAATTCTCCTAATTTTTTTAGTCAGGATAAAATAAACTAAACAATTACCTTGCAGTGTTCCTTTGCTGCAGCTCTCACTGATGTAATATCTGTTACCTCGTGGCTCTTATCTTGCTTTTACACCTTGGCTTGTCATAGTTTACTACCCCCTTTCACCTTCCAAACTTTTCAGCTTACCTTGAAAATACTTCTCTACATCGATTGTCCTTGCAGAATTTCACCTACACGAGCTACTCTTTCAGGAGAAGCATGCTAGCAGGGGCTGATTGAGGTTCTAGCATTTCATCATAATTCTGGTAGTCATTCCCCTCGAGATTACCAGCAAGTAATGTTTGTCCTCCTACTTTGTCTCCCTTTCTGAATGGCCAAAAGTAAATGCAACCACTTTGGGTCTTTTTGACCCACTTATTGATTCTCTTCTGATCTATCCTATCTCTGTAAAGTTCAGGTTCAGATAATTGCAGATATTTACAGCTCTGTTAAAGGCACATATAACAGTATTGGCTCTTGTCTTTAAACTTGGCAGGGTTATTTTGAATGACCCTGTAACTGCCATTTAACTATGAAATTATACAAACTATAACTTTGAATTTAGTGAGCATACTTTCATAAAATTGGGCATGCTTTCAGTAAACATTGTGTTTTTTTTTCCACAAAGTCAGATTTTTTTATTAAGTATTTTTACTAAAGAGTTGTCTGAATTTACAAAGCCTTTCCTGAGTCAGTTCAAACAAGATGATTGTCATGTCTAGAATAAAAGTACTTTTTATTCTTACAGTTTTTTTGCACAACCTCTAGAACTAATAAATGGATAACAAAAGTGTTTTCAGTAAAACTTTATATTTTATTTATTATTATTTTCTCTGTCCTGACACTAAGTGTATTGCAATCAGCTATGTAGGGTAAAATTGAAAATTTCTAAATAAATCTGAGTTACTATTTTTTCTTTCCAGAATGACTGCATATTGTAATAGACCATTTATTCTTACAGTCAAAACTAATACTTTTTATTATTGCCACTCATTTATTTTATTGCTTTACAGTTGTACTTTAGACACTTTTATAGTGTGGTCAAAGTTATTCTCATAGCAGGACAGTTTTGTGTAAACAATGAATCAATTTACCAGCACTCTTACTCATAAATTGACACAATTATTTAAGCTTTCATGTCTGATCTACGAAGTTTCTAATTTTTACTTCTTAAATTTTATAACAATAAATAAAAAATATACCAGTGATGCAACTTAACACTACAGTTGTAATATATAAAATCATTTTTATTTGTTTCAAATGTGCAAATAATATCTCAAAATATTATCACATACAGAAAATATAATGTTCTAAAAACTACTATAATTTTAACAAGCTTTCTAACTAAGTTATACATAGATTAAAATAATTCCATTAGCTTGTCAAAGCAATTTTTATGATAGCAACAATGTAACTGTAGGCCACTGATGTCAAAACAAGCTAATCTTATAGGTAGTTCAGTAAATTAAAATATCTTCATATTGCTTATAAATAATCTAATGCCAAATGTCAAAAAGAATTATTGACATTTTTTAAAGGATGTAAAAGGGGATGTGACATGTTGGTTTGACTTTCTTGTATATATCTCAGTAAACCAAGAAGACTGGAGGCCATAGATTTATATTATGGCTTAGAAATATCCAGAATTTAAATTTGTGATTTGTACCAAACTCATAAAATCATGAAGTGATAGATAGAAGTTTTAAAATGGGCAATGTGGTGCGAAGAAGTGATACAAAGAAGTGAAGATTGAGAACTTATCTGAATATTTCCTTTTTAAATTAAGAAATTAAAACTTACATAATATTAATATTTGAAGTATAAACTATGTTTTGATCCCAAGTTTATCAACATACTAAGGTAATATAGTTGTTTGAATTTTGAACGTAACTCTGTTATAGGTCATAGCATGTGCACTTTGACCCCTACCTGAAGTTAGAGGATTAATAAGTGGGCAGTCTATCTTTTAATTTTGCTTTACATTTATAATACCAAATTAACGATTCTAGTTTTGATTTTGTTTAAAAAAAGACAATAGCTTTTATATAGTTGAATTGTTTGTTTTTAAATTTGTTGAATTAATAATATGTAAAATAAGTTGAATGTCCATTACATGATGGGAAATAAAGATTAACTTTTCTTCTCAAAATTATATCTAAATAAATGTTTTATGAACATGTTTTCTAAAAATTAATTACAATCTAGTAACAATATATGTATGGAGAATGACTATCCCATTTCTAGTATTTCACAAAACATTTTTTATGTATATTTGGTCATCTCCTTTAAGTATTGATCGATTAGCATTTTGAGTTCTGTATATTTTTAAGTTATGTTTAAATATTCTTTATAAATTCTTATCGATTGAAATGCGAAAAAACTGATTCTCAAAGACATATTCCTACTTGGTCAACTGTATGACCCTGCAAATTATTAATTGTGATTGTAAAGGCAATGAATTTCATTATGAATTTCAGGATCTTCTCTTTGGGCTGTCCTCCTGGTTTTGGCTTTGTTAGCCTTTTGAGCTGAAGAAGCGAGCTTTAATTTAGGCATTTTCAAACTTGAAATGTGCTGCGGGTAAAACGTGGGTTATTGTAGAGATGTAGCCGAGGGTTCCAGTTGGACAAAATTTGATTTTGCATCAGTGTGTCTCCATGACAACCAAGCCAACATAATGGGGAATTTCAGCCAATGATTATGGTTTTTGTGTTCCAGCAGGTTCCAAGTGCGAAGTACCTGTATACCTGATTCCAGTGTACTGCTCATCTTGTCCTCTACCAACATACCCTCAAATATAATTATATGCCCAGATCAATGCATCGTCCATTTTATATGTATATATATAAATATATATATATATGGCTGGAAGAATTTTAAAAAGACAAACTTGCTTGTCATAGCAGAAAGTGCTGTCATTTTGACATGATAGATGGATGGCTTTTTGTCTTTATATAGTATATGAACCTAAGAAGTAACATACATATTAACTACAAATTTGGTATTGTTACATTTCACTTACTTCCTGAAAAGATACTGGATTTTCCATCCATATGTCTTAGGTAGAAATAAAATAACCTTACATCTAAGTACCTTAAATGAACAATGCTAACAAAATTAGTTCAAATATTTTTCTTTTTATAAAAAAAACTGATTTCATTTTTGTGTAGTATCTTCAGTTGTTTCAAAGAGTGTAGGAAGTAATACACCTATTATTAAACAATTGAGAATTGCATCAGGAAGTGTTCATTCAGAATCACTCAAAAGGTTTAATATTACCTAATTCTTGTGTTTGTTTCTAACCTTTTAAAAACATGATGATTTTTTTTTCAGATACCCTATTTTGAATGGAATTCCCTTCAGCTGTCCGACAAGAAGTCCAAGGCAGAATACTTATATAAACAAGTTTTCAGTTGACTCTGATTGATCTGTACAAATCATAATAGTATTATGAAAAAAATATATAAAATACATGCCCATTAATAAAACCTTTAGAAATTTGAAAGATGTACATAAATTTAGTTAATAAATTTACAATATTTTTCTTTATTTCCATCTCAATTAACCTTTTTTCAGCTTACCAAGGATCATTTTATGATATCCGTATTATGCACATGTAGCATTTTGAGTTTAATAGTTCAAAATCCATTGAAATGTCTGGAAAGTGAGGTCTGGAAGAAATCTTGTATGTGTGTGTACATATATATATATATAAACACATTCGTGTTTATTAAAATTTTTTTTTATTGAATGTTAAAAGTGAGCATAAAAAATGTAACAACTTTGCTGCAAAGATATGTTGATTATATCTGCATGCTTTCTAGCTGTGAAGCAGGAATGAAATTAGTCATAAATAAAAATGGGGAGAATGACACTACTTTGCCACAAAACAGTTAAATTATTTCATTAGTACTTGTACAACACCTTATGTACGGTCTTTAGTGTGTGTGTGTATGAGTCTCATCATTAAGAAATGTTTTTAACCCTCTTCATGCAAATTAAGTCTATTGTTACAGGACCTTCACACACCCTATAAAACCCTAAACTTCTTCATCATAGTAATCTTATCATCAACTAAAGGGGGTGAGGGTTACTTTTTTAGATGATTTTACAGCTGTCTGGCAAATTTATAAGAATAGGAAACATGACTGTACAAGAATTGTTATTCTTATATTTTCTTCTTTCTGTCAATGGAAAGGTAGGATTTATAAATTGTCCTCTTTGGTCACACATCTCAAGTATGCTTTGATGTTTCAACTGCCAGTGATTTGGCTATTATAAAACTTCTTGTGACCATTGTGGTGGTATAGACCATAGTAGTATCATCTATATGAGCCTTGCTGTGTTAACTTTAAGGGTTCACACTCCTCTTACTCCTGATACTGCTCAAAGTGGAAGGATGATAAAGAAGTGTAGCATTTTAATATGTAGAATAACATCGATTATGATAAGGCATGTAAATTAATAACATGAAGTTTCCAAGTATAGATATGTTTCTCCTGTGTATTCCACTAATTCTGTATGGGCTCATACATATATAACTGTACCCCTCCTTCCAAATTTTTTCCCCATATGTCAAAGTTCAAACTTCATTCATTGAGTGTCCATCGAAGAAGTCCACCTCTGTTTGTTCTTTGCCTGAATGCAACATTTCAGAGTGATTGGATCCAGTCCATCTGTGTTCAAAGACTGTCATATGATTTGCCTTCATTATTTAGAGTGATGACAAGCAAGTGATGATTCACTGTCACTTTTATCACAGGCATAGTTCATAGAGGTTGATTCTGTATATACCTCCTTACAAGAAACATTCTGAAAGTTATGTGATAGATGAGTTCATAGAAGAGTATCATTGTTGGCTGACCAGTATACTTCCTCCATAATTGTGCCCTTTATTAGATCCCTGGAGGCAATTGCCATTTGTGACTCCAGTGGTTGTACCATCAACACGTGTCTCTGTGTGAGGTGGACAATGATCTATGAGGCAGTGATCATTTTCTCATCATTCTTGGGGATATAGGCCGAAGTTGATGTCATGTGACTCGTGCCATGGTGAAGGCTGAAGAAACCCAAGTCACTCTTCTCCACCACTCATTTGAGCTTACTTCTACTGTCATTAATCTGGCAGTAACTGATCATATTCTCCAATTAGTTTTGCTTAAAATCAATAAAACCTTCACATATTTTCCACAGTATCCTTATTCATGGTGAACACGTGATTTCCAAAGGGCAGTACAGGCTTAGAAATGAATGAGGAGTGTCAAATATCCCACTCTCACATGTTGCATAACCTGGAAGATCAGACATCAAATCCAGAAGGAGTTTTGGATTGAGTTTACTTCCAGCATATCTTCCACTCACCAGTTACTCTGGGAAATATTTGGAAGATTAATAGGTAATACAAATTTCATCCTCTTTCTATCTTGTAACCCAGTAATCAAGTGTCGTGTTTACAGGATATTGCCCTTATTCTTAGAGAATGTTTTTCTTACCACTAGTTACCTCCACCATCTTCCATGCCTTTTTAAACATCAAGACACAGGTTGAAAAAAGACTTAAACATTCTGTCCTTTAGTCTTGCAGTACATTTTTAAGATCAGTAATATCCAGTATAAGATGCTGCATCATCTCTCTTCCACTTCTCTTAGTCTTCAGGTTATTATGACTACATTTGGCAGGTAGAGGAGCTTCCTGATTGATGGTGTCGGTTGTTTATCATCTCTTTTGCTAAGCCTGAGGAGGATATCAAGATTCTGTGTAATTATAGACCTATTGTTTTGATTAGTTGTCTGTTTAAAGAGTTCTGGAGGGGATGGTTAATGCTCATCTTTTAATGATTGAGTCAAGTCAAGTAACTTTTCCAACACTAAATATCGTCGACAGTCCATCATGGACCAGCAGATTCACTTGAAATGTCAATCAAGGAAAATTTTCTCAGAAAGAAGCTTCTTGTTTTGATCTTTCTTTGATATTGAAAAGAATCTATGACACAATTTGGAGATTTAGTATATTACAGGACTTCCTTTCTTCCGAGTTATGTAGTCATTTGCTCATTTTTATTTGTAACTTTTTATCAGAGAACTAATTATGGGTTTGTGTGGGGATCAAACTATTCCAAGCTTCCACTTAGGAACTTGAATAATCTTAAGTGACACACTTTTTAGTGATAAGATAAACGACACTTTTGAACAACTTCCTCTTATGGTTGTAAACAGCCTTTATATTGATGACTGTCAGATTTCCTTTCAATCATTGAATATGAAGTACGTTGAATGGTAGCTAAGAACTGCTTACAATAAATTGTAAGTGGACCACTGCAAACATGTTTAAAATTTTGTCATCTAGAACCATTTTCATGCAATGCTTATACCAATAGGGATTGCATCCTGATACATAGCTCCAACTGGAATGTGCACAGATTCCCGTGGAGGCTGAAAGATAGTTATTAGGACTTCTCTTTGACAATAAGCTGTCGATTAGTTCATAAAGTAGCTTAGAGCCAAGTGTAGAAAGACACAGAGCTTTCTCTTATGTCACGTCTTCCACCTTTTGGGTAACGAATAAATGCTCTGTGCTCAAGATATAGTATGTTCTTATTGGATCTAAGCTGGACCTTAGGTCTCTGTTCTATTCCTCAGATGGCTACTCTACATTGAAGATGATGAATCTTATGCATCATAACAAGGTCCGGTTATGCATAGAATTTTCGCACTTCACTGGTCTAGAGTATATACATAAAATCCATTTAATGTCCAGTTCACTTTCGTTTTACGACTCTTTTGCAGCATGCTGTAAAGCTCTAATCATTGCCACAGCACCCTACCTGGCACTATGTTTTCATGCCTCATTGGCTATAGTTTTTTAAAAGGGCAGTCAAAATAAATCAAACCACTTAGTCCTCTGGTGAGACAGCGGTAAGTTTTCGGATTTGTAATTCTACAATCAGAGGTTCAAATCCCTCAGTGGAAAAAGCAGATAGACCGATGTAGCTTTGCTGTAACAAAACGCACACACACACAAACTTTTTCGCTTAAAACAATTAAATGATCGTAGCCATTAGTAATAAACGTAGTTTTCAAGTATACGTTACAATATGTAATTTGTATCTATGTAGTGTCTTTGAAAATAATTTTGAAAAGACTACTAACCTTCTGTTGATCTCATGCTGAGTTACATTTTCAACATCTTGTTAATCACATTCTAGAAAATGGAAGATTTATTAACATTTTCTACTCGTAAGCTTTGCGAGAGGTATTTCTCTGAAAACTTTGAAACTAATAAACAATCACGAACTTCTTCCGTTCATGTAAATATTTTCCAAATCAACTAATTTTCAGTCGTACTTAAATCATAAGTAAAACAGCCATTCTCTATTGTATTCTTTAATGCTTTGAAAACGTGTGAAACTCAACAATGTGTGGAAACATTCTAATCTCGGGTTAACTTGCACTTTAAAGCTGTTTAAGTGCAGTTATTTTATCAGTAGCGACACCAACTTTCAAGTAATTAAATTAACGAGTTTAAAACATTGAACGTCGTCTGAAGTAACTCAGTCTTAGAGGATTATGCTGTCAGAACTGGGTATAATGTTTATGAGTGAAATGGAAAGAGACGAAAAGTGGGAAATTATGAAATAGAAACGAAGATGTCAGTATAAGAAACAGGCTTAGTTATCAGAAACGTCTGGACTGTTACGGCCAATAGGAAAATAAACTAACAATGCGTCGCTTCAGTCTATTGTTTGTTTAATGAAAAACACGATGCTACACAATGAGCTGTGTATGTTGTGCGTATCGAAAAACAATATTTAGCGTGTTAAGCTCTCGGCTTACCGCTGAGCCACCATAGGGGATCCACGTGTTTTCTTGCTACCTGTAAGGAACTAGACTACTGTGAATGAATTAAAGCAGGACATTATTTTCAGGATCACTGTCCATTATTCACTACCAACTAAAACTACTTCCATGACTTGAAGCAATGTAAAATCCTACAATAATATTAGTTTTTATTAAGGATATTTAGAGTAGGCTTAAATGGCTAGTTATGCTACATTTTAAAGATTTCAAACTCCGAACATTTTCCTTACACTCGGCAAATTAAATATATTCTTTTTATATAACAATTGCAAGAATCTACTGACAACAAAAGGAGATTTACTGTTTGAGTTTCTAGATTGAAGAATAAACATAACTTTCCTATATAATAGTATAAATGATATCGAGTTACTTAGAATTAAATGAAAATTATGTAAACAATGCCCTCTGGTGGCTCCTCGGTATATCATCGTGTTTATAACGCTAAAAATCGGGTTTCGATATCCACGGTAGGCAGAGCACAGATTGCGCATACTTGTGCTTAACAAAGAAAAATAAATAAATAAACGTATATTTTATTTAGTAGATTGATTGTCGTTTTAAAATGTATATTAATCTAAATGTTTAGAAATTCGACAACCAGTATATGGGTCTGGGATGGCTTGGTGGTTACCGTGCTCCACCTGGAATTTGCGCGTCGTGGGTTCGAATATTGTTCACGTACATGCCATGAGG